AATACAAAATAAAACACAAAGGAAGAGTCGGGGCTTCGAAAGATGTCGGTGCTGCAGAAGATCAGCGAGGTGGAGGCCGAGATCGCCCGCACGCAGAAGAACAAAGCCACCAACTTCCACCTCGGGCTGCTCAAGGCCAAACTCGCCAAGCTGCGCGGCCAGCTGCTCGAAGGCAGCAGCAGCAGCAGCAGCAGCCGCAGCGGCCGCGGCGGCGAAGGCTTTGAAGTTTCCAAAACTGGAGACGCCAGGATAGGACTCGTGGGCTTCCCCTCCGTCGGAAAAAGCACTCTTCTCAACAAACTCACAGGTCAGTGCAGCAGCAGCAGCAGCAGCAGGGGGGGAGCCGGAGCAGCAGCAGCAGCAGCAGCAGGGGGGGAGTGGGAGCAGCAGCAGCAGCAAGGGGGGGGCGGGAGCAGCAGCAGCAGCAGGGGGGGAGCGGGAGCAGCAGCAGCAGCAGGGGGGTGCTGCTCTTGCTGCTGATGATGAGCCAAGAGGGGGGCTCGGGTGCTGCAGCTGGACTGTGGTTGTCCTGCTGCTGCTGCTGCTGCGCTTCGGGCTGTGCTGCTGCTACGCATTTCGCCCCACTCTTCCCTGCTGCTGCTGCTGCTGCAGGTACCTTCAGCGAAGTTGCTGCTTATGAATTCACAACTCTTACTTGTGTCCCTGGAGTCTTTCGCTACAAAGGCGCAAAAGTGCAGCTTCTGGACCTTCCCGGAATCATTGAGGGTCAGCTAGGGTTTAGGGTTTAGGGTTTAGGGTTTAGGGTTTAGGGACTTGGCTGAGTACCCGCAGCAGCAGCAGCACAGATCTCTCCAGCCACCAACCTCCCTATCTATTTATATGTCCATCTAGCTAGCGAGCTAGCTAGCCAGCGTAGCCGCAAAAAGCCTTCCCGCTGCTGCTGCTGCTGCTGCTGCTGCTGCTGCTGCTGCTGCTGCTTAGGCGCGAAGGACGGGAAGGGCCGTGGGCGTCAGGTGATAGCGGTGGCTCGGACTTGTTCTTTAATTTTGATTGTTTTGGATGTTTTGAAACCCTTAACTCACAAAAGAATTATTGAAAAGGAACTCGAGGGTTTTGGAATTCGACTCAACAAGAAACCCCCCAACATCTCCCTCGTCAAAAAGGACAAAGGTACCCCCGCTGCTGCTGCCGCTGCCGCTGCTGCTGCAGCCGCAGCTGGCAGCACCCAGCTGCTGGTGCTGCTGGCGCTGCAGCCGCAGCTGGCAGCAGCCGGCTGCTGCTGGTGCTGCTGGCGCTGCAGCCGCAGCTGGCAGCAGCCGGCTGCTGCTGCTGCGGCTGCGCGCGCCGCTGCTGCACCCTCCCAATCCGCGGCTCCCTCCGCCACCCCCGCGCCTCCGCCGCTGCCGCTGCTGCTGCTGCTGCTGCTGCTGCAGGAGGCATTAGCGTGAGCCACAGCGTGCCGCTGACGCAGCTGGACGAAGACACCATCCGGCTGATCTGCCAGGAGTACCGCATTCTGAACGCTCAGGTGTCTGTACGCTGCGACGCGACGGCGGACGAGCTGATCGACGTGATCGAAGGCAACCGGCTGTACGTACCGTGCGTGTACGCGGTGAACAAGATTGACCAGGTCACTTTGGAGGAGCTGGACATTCTGGAGCAAGTGCCGCACTACGTGCCCATTTCCGCGCACCTCGAGGTCCAAACCCTAAACCCTAAACCCTAAACCCTCGGCGCGGCGGCGCGGGCTGCGGGGGCGGCTTTGCGCGGTCGCGGCGGGGCTTCGCTTTGCTGGGCGGGCTTCGGGCTTCGGCTTTGGGGTTTGCGGCTTAGGGTTTGGGGCCTGGGGTTTGGGGCTTGGGGCTTGGGGTTTAGGGTTTAGGGCTGCGGTTGGGGTTTGGGTGCAGCTGAACTTGGACGGGCTGCTGGAGAAGATCTGGGAGTACCTGAGTTTGATTCGGGTGTACACGAAGCCGCGGGGGCAAATCCCAGACTACTCTTCTCCGGTGGTTTTGAGCAGCAGCAGCAGCAAAGTGGAGGACTTTTGCTGCCGCATTCACAAGAGCTTACTGGAGGAGTTCAAGTACGCAGTAGTGTGGGGCAAAAGTGTGAAGCACAACCCGCAAAAGGTGGGAAAAGACCACCAGCTCCAGGACGAAGACGTCGTCCAGATCATCAAAAAGTGAACCGTTTTCCCCCGTTTTTCCCCCCCTTCGCGCCCTTCCGCCTCCACTCCCTTTTATTCTTCTTCTTCGTTTCAAATGCTGCGTTTTGGTGGGCTTACTTCCCCGCGGGGCTTCCAACTTGCAGAGAAATTCAAGTTCAACTTCTGCCCGCGGCGCGGGCCGGGGCGGAGGACAAGGAGTCAGGCATTTCAATGCAAAGAAATCGAATTCTCCAACGCATTTATTTAATTTAATCATTTAATTATTTAATCATTCAATCTACTTAAGTGGCACGAGAGGAGGCTGCAGCAGCAGCGGCAAACGCGAAGCAGCAGCAGCAGCAGACGGCAGTCGGAGCGCTGCTGCAGGCCGGCAGCAACGCGCTGCTGCTCTCCTGCGGCTTTGCTGCTGCTCCCGTGCTGCTGCTGCAGCGCCGTGCTGCTGCAGTGCTGCGGCGCGGCGCTGCTGCAGTGCAGCAGCAATATGGACGCCTTCTGTCAACAACTTTGCGTGCATGCGCGCATGCATGCAGTTCTAGAAAGGTTCTTTTGCTGGCCCAGTTCCCCAAACCCCAAACCCTAAACCCTTCTGCAAGCTTCTGCACTAAGCCCCGCTAGAACAAACCTATGCATGCATGCATGCATGCATGCATGCATGCATGCATGCATGCAGCAAGTTGGTTAGTAGAAGTTTGCTCAGTTGCGCACATGCACCGCGTACACATGCATGCAAGTGCTGCAACATGCTTGCATGCATGCATGCATGCTTGCATGCATGCCTGCAAGTTGTGCAGCACAAGTGCAGCAGCGCATGCATGCATGCAGCTAAGGCAAAGGGTTGCATGCATGCAGCGGCAGCTGCATGCAGGCGCTGAGGCAATCATATATGTACGCACGCATGCATGCATGCATCCATGCATCCATGCATCCATGCATGCATGCATGGCACAAAGTCCCAGAGGCCGCATGCAGAGAAAAAGCCCCAAAAGCCCTTCTAGCTAATCCTCGCCTTTTGCCAAGGGGCCAAGGAGCTGCAGCAGAAGCAGCAGCAGCAGCAGCAGCAGCAGCAGCACAGGCAACACAGTTTGCTGCTTCTGCAGCTACGATTTGCTCTTGCCGATACTAATACTGCTGCTGCTACTGCTCTTCTTAACTCTAGCTCCACTGCTGCTGTTAGCCAGAGCTGCTGCTGCTGCTGCTGCTGCTGCTGCTGCTGTTGCTGCACCTTTTTCCTGGCTCGAGTGGCTTGATCGAGGTGCTTTTCCAGTAAGTCTGCAAACGGCCAAACTTCCAGATTAAACGGCACCTGCAGCAGCAGCAGCAGCAGCAGCAGCAATAACGCGCTCGAGCAGCTTCTCGCAACGCAGCAGCAGAAGCACGGGCAGCAGCAGCAACCGCAGCACCAGCAAGAGCGCCGCCGGTTTCGCCGAACTGGGCGCTGCCAACCCCAAACCCTAAACCCCAAACCCCAAACCCTAAACCCTAATTGGGAGACCTCGAAGATGCCGGTGGACTCTATGAGGCGGTACTGCTGCTTCAGCAGCAAAGGAATTGGGGGTTTATTTCTCCTGAGGGTTTGCAGCAAAGACTGCAGCAGCCAGCGATCTCCTGCAGCAAGATGGCTAGGGGATCGGCCGCAGAGGCGATCCAGCGCCTCCTGCGCAGCAGCAGCAGCAGCAGCAGCAGCAGGTGAAGCAGCAGCAGCAGCAGCAGCAGGGGCTGCAGGGGCAGCAGCACGGCTGAGCAGCAGGGGCGGTAGCAACCACGGCCGCAGCAGCAGCAGCGCCGCTGCCAGCCGCTGCTGCAGCAGCAGCAGCCAGCGCCTCCTGCCGCCGCCGCCGCTGCTGCTGCTGCTGCTGCACTTACGCGTCGTTGCTGCTGCGTGAGGCTCGAGTGTACGTACACCAGCTCGGGGTGAAATCCACTTTCCGCCACTTCGACTTTTCGCAGCAGCTCAGCAGCATCTGGGGGAGGGGTTTTGGGGTCGGGTCCGAATTTTCTGTAGACCTGCACGCAAACCCTAAACCCTAAACCCTAAACCCTAAATCCTAGGGGTTCGCAAGCGCCGCAGCTGCCGCGCTCAAGACTCACTATTTTCTCCGCACGCTGCAGCACCCTCGACAGCTTCCGCTTCCTCGTCTTCTTGTTCTGAAAGCAAAAACCGTAAACCCTAAACCCTAAACCCTAAACCCTAAACTCGACACCCTCGTTGAATTCAAAGGGATAAAACCCTCTTGCGCAGCACTATGGCTCAAGCCTCAGAAGACCGTTTAAGCGGTGCAACCAAAAAATCAGGGTTTAGGGTTTAGGATTCACGATTTAGGGTTTAGGGTTTAGAGCCTAGGGTTCAGGGTTCAGGGTTTAGGGTTTAGGATCAGGGCTTGCCTTGCTGCGGAAAGCATCTTCCGTTAGCTTTTTCTCGTAACAGCGAAAGCAGCGCCTCATGGCTTTGACCCGTCTGCAGCCACGAAACAAGGATTTAGGGTTTAGGGTTTAGGGTTTAGGGCTTAGGATTTAGGACTTAGATTCCAAGATTCAGGGTTTAGGGTTTAGAGTCTTGTCCGCATTTCTGCTGACCCAAAAGCTCGGGCCTAGGATGCAGAGCACTGGATTAAAGAAATAGGGCTTAGGGTTTAGGGTTCAGGGCCTAGGGTTTAGGGTTTAGGGTTTAGGGTTTAGGGTTTACGCAATGTATTTGATATCCTGCTGGTACAAAGCGTCTTTGAAGGCCACCTCATCTATTTGCTGCTGAAAAAGACTTTCCATCGCCTGCCTGATCACAGACGCCGCAAACCCTAAACCCTAAACCCTAAACCCTAAATCCTAGGGGTTCGCAAGCGCCGCAGCTGCCGCGCTCAAGACTCACTATTTTCTCCGCACGCTGCAGCACCCTCGACAGCTTCCGCTTCCTCGTCTTCTTGTTCTGAAAGCAAAAACCGTAAACCCTAAACCCTAAACCCTAAAC